CCCTCCCACTCCTCCCTCCCCTCCTCCCCTTCCCCTCCCCTCCCTCCCTCCCTCCTCCCTCCTCCCTCCCCCTCCCCTTCCTTCCTCCCTCCCTCGTCCCTCGTCCCTTCCCTTCCCTCCGTCCCTTCCCCCCCCTCCCTTCTCCCTCCCATCCTCCCTCGTCCCTCGTCTCTCGTCCTCCTCACCCGCACAAACCATCACGTTCCCGATCGCAGACGCCGCCAGCTCCTGTATGTTCTCGTTGGAGCTGGAGAGCAGCGAGCAGATACAGCGAATGTCCGCTAGGATACACGCCTTCCGCCATGACGGAGCAGGAGGCATCGAAAACTTGATGCTGTCCTGGAGAACTACAGCTATCGTCCTCTTCGACCACGGGCCAGCCTGCGTCCCGTTGACGTCGCAGGGGCAGCCCTTGCTCGTTAGCCAGCGGAACGTTTCGACGATCCGGTTCCACCGCAGCGTGTTGTCAACGAAGAGTTCTCTGATTTCCTTGAGCGGCATGCTCGCTGACACCTCCTCCTCCTGCTCCCTTGCCAGCAGTGTCCGCCAGAACTCCTCGTCCTTCTGCACGAACTCGAATCTCTTGCTCGACACGAAGACGTTGTACAGCGATCTTCCTCGCAGCAGCAGGCAGACTTTGAGCATGAGATCCTGCGTGAGGCGATCTAGTTGACACGGCTTGCTCTTCTTCGTCAGAAGCTCCTTCATTCTCTCTGCTGCCGCCGCAGCCGCCTCCTTCCTCACTCGCTCTGTTTCTGCTCGCGCATCCTTGGCCCTTCGGGCACGAGGTCACAACACGGAGGAGCAAACATTTCGGAAGCAGGTTTGAGAGGAGGAGGGGGGGGGGAGGGGGGGGGAAGCAGCAGCAGCAGCAGCAGCAAAAAAGCAAGAGAAGAATGAGAAAACGAAGGCAATAATACACAGGCTCGCAATGTAAATAGATCTCAAGCATTGAAACATTGAAACAGCAAAGAATAGACATGGCAGCCAAGTCTACACAGAAACAATCCAAGTGCATGCAGACATGCAAGCATGCATGCATGAGAAGCAATCACCTCTGATCGAAGTTCTTTAGAGAGGCTGTCAAGCTTTTGAGACGCTCCTGCAGGTCAGCTTGTCTCTGCGCATAGACCGCAAGGTGATCGCTCATCGAGCCTTGATCCACCACGTCCCCTGCAGAAGGAGCCGAAGATCGTCGTTTTATGTTTGCCATCAGGCTCGCAATGCTGAAGCTGTCTTGTGCAGCAGGCGAGTGGACGGGAGCAGCGGAGGAAGATGTCGATCGAAGCAGCATGGCTCCTGCTGCTCCTTCTCCTTCTCCTCCCCCTTCATTGTGCTGGTGCGAAGTTCTCTGCCCCTCTTGCGCTCCGTTCACTTCATCCTCTCCCCCGCCTCTGCTCTCTGGCTGACTAGCTTCCACATCGACAGGTCGATCTTCCACAACAAGGGCGCTGGCGCCGCTCATCTCGATTATTCACCCTCCTGTACACCTGTCATCGAAATCAGCCTGCAACCATGTGCTCCATCTTTATCGTCGTGGTTTCTACATGTTCGTGAATAGACTTCGGCTCCTGCTCCTTTTTTGGTTGGGATGCTGCTCCTGCTCTCCTGCCCCTGCTCTCCTGCCCCTGCTCTCCAACTCTCCTGCTCTCCTGCTCTCCTTCTCCTGCTCCTGCTCCTCAGTCTCCACACTCGTCTCCTCCTCCTCCCCCCTTCAACTCTCCTCCCGACCGATCCATGTTTCTTCCTGTGTTTCTTCTGTCTCTTTGTACGATCAGCAAATCAACAAAACAAGACTTTCAAGTGACTCAATATTGAGTGACTCTGTGACTCCGACTCCCGTCGCCAGGGGCCGCCCCTGGCCCGGGCCGGGCCCGGGCCGGCCCCGGCACGGCGCGGCTAGCATACGGTAGGGCGGCCGCCTGGCACCCGGTGACCCGGTCGGACCGGGCAGGGCCGGGCTGCCAGTGTCTCCGAAACTCAGTCCGGGCAGCGAAGGACTCCGGACAGGGACTCGGGAGGCCTTGTGACTCAGTGAGCGGCTTTGAGTAACTGAGATTTGAGCGGCCCGTTCCGATAGTTCCGATAACTTGACTCCTTGACTCGGCCCGGCCCGGGCTCCCGAGTCCGGCGCCGCGGCGCGGCCGCTGCGCGCGGCCGCCGGGAGGCGCGGCGGCCCGATCATCAACGCCGGTCACAAGTTCCAATACTGAGTGACTGATAAGATCGGACTCAGATCGGATCGGACTCCGAGGCTTTGTCCGGGGCCCGATCGGTCATCATTACCAAAAGATCTTCGGGCGGGTTCCGATGGCAAGATAAGGGCCGTGCCAACAATGGCGGCCACAGTCACGCCTATTTGATAACCGGTACTTTACCTGGGAGTTGGAGGGGTATCGTTGCGACCAGAGCGGCAGGCCCATCGGTGGGCTCAAGGGCACGGGTAGATTCATGGAAGAAAAGGGGTAGGGGTGGGTAGCCCGAGGATGCGACGGGGGTGGTACAGGTCATGTACAGATCAGGTTGCCCCTTCCACATTACGGCGCATTTAAAACACTTTTTCCATTTACTTTATTTTTAAAAAGGATTTCAAGGAGTCAGGTTTGAAAAGAATAGTTTTGGAGTGTGACTGTGACACCCCGATACCCTTGATTTGCCACGAAATCTTGGGGTACACATCCGCTACACCTCTGAAAACAGTACAGTTGGATTTGAAATAACTCTTTTTCAATCTTGTGTACCCTAATTAGAGTATAAATTGATTTTACCAGCGAAATCTGGTACAATGTATCGTTCCCATTCCAATTTTAGGCCACCCCGACTTGTCGCTTCTACACCTTCTCCTTCGCTTTCCCTTCGTACGTCCTCTTGCTCTCCATCTCGCTCTCCCTCATCCAAACCCACGCCAGTGTTCTTCCTTCACCAACTTCCTTCTTCTGCTCCTTGTCCTCCTCCTCTTTCCTGATTCTTTCGAATCCTCTAACTTCCCTGTCCTTTTTCTCGTAACCCGCTGTACGTGCAGCTCCTACCCTAGTTGTTGCAACAGTCAGTGTGGCTCTTCGACTATTACTTTCATTGGAGCTTAGACGCAAAGAAAGAGAGAAGAGAAAACAAGAATTTCTACCCCTCATCCGCACGCTCAGCGTCAATCAGGATCAGCAAACTCTCGTATTCTAAGTTAGGCTACTCCAAGGACAAGCAGCATGCGTAAGCCGTCGCAGCCGCACTGCGTCCTGGAGCAGGAGCTTCAGAGCTTGCTCCAGGTGCAGCGAACCTTGGTGCAGAACAAGTCGACGCTCGTCGTGGAGCCATGCCAGGAGGCCGAGAAAGAGGTTCGCGACCGCGTGAGGGCGATCAAGAACCGACTGGCAGCGAAGAAGTCGAGGGACCAGGCGAGGACGTACGTCCAGAAGCTCGAGAGCTCTCTCAGTCACTTCGTGTCGCACAACGAGACTCTCTCCCAGCGCCTGGCCCTCTCGGAGTCCGACAAGGAGCTGCTGCGAGCTGAGAACCGAAACCTCAAGCGGCAGGTGGTGGAGCTGACGCGAGACCTTCAACGGGCGTCAGCGGAGGTGCAGGCGTTGACGGCGGCTCAGCTGAGCAAGGAGGTGGAAGTGCCTCGAGCTGGAGAGGCAGGTGGGATTCTCGTGGGCAACTTGAGCCCCCGACCAGCTTTTCAGGTTCCCATGTGCAGCTACGAAGCGCTCGGGGACTTTGCGGAGTCAGCTGCCTTTGTTTCCGTGGAGGAGTGGAGGAAGGAGAAGAGGAGGAGGCAGAACAGAGAGGCTCAGCGCCGGCATCGAGAGCGTCAGCTCTGCTTGCACAACAAGAACATCCCCATGCAGCTCATGGAGAAGGAGAGGAAGGAAGAAGCTGATAGCCCTCTCGTCAAGGGCGAGAGCTGTGAAGCATCCTCGAGCCCTGAGCAGCTATCGGACGATACTTGCTCCCTTGAGGGCTTCACCGATGCCGTCTTCGATCCGCCGGGAGGCCTCGCCGTCTCCTCCGTCGCATGTTGTGGGGGCCTCGCACAACCGGGAGCGCAGGAGGAGCAGGAGGAGGCGATGGGGTTCAACGACGGGGAGGTGACGTACAAGTCGCATCAGGATGGAGACATGTTCCTGTTCTAGGGGAGGATCGTCGGGAGAGAAGCGAGGCGAGGACGAGGCCTTGAGACGAGCCCTCCCCTCCCCGCGTCGTCTGCTGAATGTGCACAAGCGCGCGAGAGCCTTTGATTGATTCTTTTGATTAATCCTTGAAATATGATAATGAAACTATCATTGAAGTTTCTGATGAACACTTCAATTGAGGCAAAAGCATCGTTGATTAGTTTGATTAAAATTTGAAGTACAAATATGAATTCGTCTTGGATTGTTTTGAACATTCAGTACCATTTAATGAAACTATCATCGAAGTTTTTGATGAATATTTGAAAACACTATATCAAACTAAGAAGAGGAGACAAGAAACTTCTGCCATGTTGGCCGTAGACTTCGATGTCGGCGTGCGGCGTGATGTACTGAGGATGTAGAGGACGAGAGAACAAGTGACAAGACAACAACCCAACTGACAGAGATGACGTCAACAGTGGTTCTAGCTTCTTGCTCCGCTACATCATTGCAGTTGTCGCATGTTCGAAGAAAGCTTTTCCTCTTTTCTAACTTTTTACTTGTTCGAAGAAAGTTTCTCCTCCTCCTCGAACTTTAGAGCAGCACCATTGATGCAGAAGCGCTTTCCTGTTGGCACCTTCCAGCGAAAGCCGTCCTCGAACAGATGGCCCTGAGACCAGGTGAGCGGCGCCTGAGGAGAGCAGAGAGATCCGGGCTGCTTGCAACGATGGCGATCATGGGAGAGAGGTCGAGGGGAGGGAGGACGAGGGGAGGGAGCGAGGGAGGCAGAGGGAGAGATAGAGGTAGAGGCAGGATGGATGGCGGGAGGGAGGAAGACGAGGGGAGGGATGGGATGGATGGGAGTGGGATGGGAGTGGG